TTTCTTCAGTCTTCCAAATCGGGATCCGAAAAGCTCTGTAACTCGTTGGTTGTAGATACAGTGGGATATCGCAGCGAACCGACAGGAGTGATGCTCTTGTTGTTACTTCTCATCAGGTCCGAATACTCGAAAAGGTATGCATGCGTAGTTAGATTGTGTACTCTTTGTGCTGACCATAGAGGTTCATTTTCTTTGTCTTCCTTCATTTGGGCGCGAACCCCAGATATCTTGTACTTTTTCACGTAAAGCTTTGTGTACCTTGTGAGCTTGACAGCGATCGGCTTAGTTCATTTTCCTGTATCCCGTTGTACAATGATGATGTTGGTGCATTGTCCATTCAGTTTCAGTTTGTACAACCATTAACCATACACCATTGTGCACCGGTCTTGGTTACTGTCTTTTGGCTGCCCATTCGGATGAAAATTAGGAGAAAGACAGGAAAGGTTGAAAGTATAATCCAAGATAAAATTTAGAATTTTGATGGACCAATGTTGCAAAGAAATTGAGAAGATGCACGAGCGCTACTGTTTACGACACTGTGCCATGTCACCGAATGTGTCTAACCATCGGGTACGATCATCCCGAAGTCCCCATCCAGGGAGTCTAACAGGACCTATGATTATGGTTTTCATAGCTTCATGCCAGGTCTTAGCTTGACCACCCTTGGCTTTCTTCCACCCACTGCCTGCCTCGGCGAACACCGGTCGCTGTGGTAACCTATCTGGTGACGGGCGTAATACATTCCAACCAACGTAATTTATGGAGGTCGACCACTTGCTCCAGTAGGCGATCGCATTTACCTAAACATCTGCACTGTCCATTCCAGGCTGGTCATTACCGCATTGATCACTACCAGTTTGGGATGGACTTGGCAACACTCCTGATATGTTGTGCTGTTTCCAACTAGATAAATAGATTCAAAGTGTGTTGATCATTTTAACGCTCACCATGAGAAACGTCCCGACGTATCGCTATCCCAAACATGGAAGATTACCGCATATCAAAAATTTGAATAGACAACCATCATTTTCCACGTCACCTTGGTAATATGTGTCTATTTTCTTCCGCTTTCCGCGCATCCACAGGTCCCTCATCATCTGTCTCGTTCGTGGGATACGTTCCACTTTGAAATGATCATCATAGCCATGTTGATGGTCTATTTTGCAAACTTTCTTTTCGGCCGTGCCAAAAACACCCAGTTTGCAATGTCCTGGTTCACTACCGTCAAACCCATTCTAACCTCTAACTTCGCCATGGTCGGTAAGTTTGACTGGGTCGTACTCTTTCATGACGGGTTTCAAGTAGCGTTATCGTATTACATGCACGCCTTTTTTCAGTGTTCTGGCGTTGTGTTACGGGGATCTGCTCATCCCTAGGCGGCAAAATAATTTTGTTCTGGATACTTCGGGCTTACTTGAATTCACCCAGAGCGGATTTTTGTGCAGTGAAAGTCTAAACGTATCGGTTGTGCTGAAGACACCAAAAATACCTTGAAGAGGATAGCGGAGTGGCGTGGGGTTCACAATACAAAAACACCCACTTCACGGTATCCACCATCTTTGACCGAACCCTTAAGTTGGAAGCATATTTCCCCCGTAACGAATTTGAATAGAGAAGCCAAAAAACACAGGTTTGCACAATGTATCCCGGATCATTTCGCTGCATCTGTACACACGCATACTGCAGTCCATGTGATCATTAATATATGGTCAGTAAATAACAGAATCACAGGCGGAGAAAGATTGCGGTCCAAATTACTCACCCAACACATTTGTTATTAAGGTAGCACCAGAATGATAATCCATTCACGATGATTACTTAGTTTGCGACGATAATTTTGAATCGCTAGTGCCTCAGCGTATTTCAAAACCTTGGTGTTGTTTGTGTTGTAGAGGATTCTGAACGTGTGGCGCAGCATGACACAATGTTTCATTTCGTCCAGGTGTTGTCTGATCGACGAACTGAGTTTCCTACGGGTCATTGGTCACATCATACTTCCAAAGTTCCCACTCATTGTTTTCTGAAGCCAGACCGGTATGTGCTCGGTTACTCGGTAACGCAGTTGTCTCTCCGTTCTGCCAATATAGGTGGCCGAACATCCACACTTGAACTGATGTGTATAAGTAGATTTTGCGTGGGGATACAGCGGTTCTTTCACTGATGATATTGGCAACCGGGCGGTTATGAAAACAACGATGGAATCAGCTGCGCCACAAACGTCTCAAGTTGGTAAAGGCCAAATAAACCTTTGAAGCAGAGCGAATAGGCTTTAATTCATTGACCTGCAGCATTGTGTTTAATCCAGAACAGATAGTGGCCGAACTCATATTGTAATGAAAGATAGTACAAAGAGAGTCCTGGTTAGCGACCGAAGCAAGAATGGGGCTCATCCGACCAGACGCGCAGACGCAGCGGCGGGAAGTGCCTCGCGAGACAATGTTGACTGCCACCCGAAACGAGCGAATCGACAATTACAGTCCGACAGACAATCCACAGCTAACGGGAACGATACCCACCGAATGCCACAACGTCGGAGCTGTCGATCAACGCATCTCGCGCCGCGATCGGGTCAAACTATTCGGAATGGCACGCGGAAGAAGAGGCAACGTACGTGCCAAGTGCGGACCAAGACCAACAAGGGATGACCCACAGAAAGAGGCATGAATCATCCCGCCGCGCGGTTGAGAATTGACTGTATATAATCGAACGCATACACTGTTTTCGAATTGGATCAATAGACGTTTTCCCAGCCAGCTCGTTACAACCGGAATGTCTTCAAATGTTGGCGGCCTGAAGTAAACATCGAAACAAAGAGAGACATTATATGTGTGCATGTCTGTTTGTGCACGACAACTGGGTCAGATTAATATCAACTGACAATTTTAGAAACGAGTGATGGGCATGAGCGCGCCCTCACAGGTCATGACTGATAACGGCTGTACTGGTGCCAATCCACACTGGTCACGACCAACGTATCGATTGATTTCAGTGAAAAAACTGGTTGAAATGATTGTTTGGCTGTTACTGGCTGGGGAGAGGGGAAACGACATTGGTGCTTCTAGATCGAATACTGCTTGACCGTTGCAAACCC